AGAGCATTTTATGTTACTTTGTTTCATGGTTTTCATATATAACAAAGATTCCTGAAGCATACAAATCTCTACACTAAAATATCAATTTTCTGATGTCTTAGTCATATAGAAAGCTATGTTAGTTATTCACATTGTAACTACTGTCACAAACATTATTGCACTTCAAGAACACAATAATCAGCCTTAATTAATAAAGTAGCTGAGAAATAAATTGAAACAGACAAAATGAAACTACATGCATGTGAATACCATCAAAGGAAGAAAAAATAAAGATAAAACACATATCAGATATAAGAAACACTAACGGAATAACAAGAAGTTGTTACCAGTAAAAGAGTGCAAATGAGTTCATCATCATTTCACTTATTTCAAAAAATTTTTTACAATGCTTTAAATGTGAACTTACGCACAGTAGCCTCTTACCCAGTCCTACTATGTGAACGGTTACATGAATATACAAGTATACTAATTATCAGGACCTAAGCAAAAGGAAGCTGTAGCTTGACTGAGAAGTCATGCTGGTTCTTTTCTTATAACCCAGGGATGTTTCAGGAGCAGTCCAGGCCCCTAAGATGAATATGTGACTAGATCAAGGCAGGTGAATTAATTCCACATTGAAGCTCTTCAAGCTTTGGGGCCTTATTCAGCACCATCCCAGCTTCCTGGGAGATTTCAGAGCCTGGGAGTTCTGATCCTTCTTTTGTTTTTCTTTGGAAAACACTAGAGCATTTGGACAGCTCCATTATAATGTTCACCCAGTTCATCTACTACATTCACTCACAACTCTTTAGCTCCATTAAATTGCCTTAGATTAGTGTATGTAGGGAATGTCCAATGTCACTAGCATTCAAGTAAATGTTAGACTATGAGCTCTATAAGGACAGGGATGTCTGCCTGCTTTGTTTACTAACTTATCACTCATGCCTGAAACAGTACCTGGAAAAATGTATGTGTTCAAAAATAATGTCCAGTTTCTCAAAGCCCCCACAAGAGCCAGATTAGTGTTAAGTGGATGGGTGATCCTATCCTACTGTAGAAATGTTTTTCTCTTCGTGGGGGGAAGGATTCTTAGCATTCTTAGGAGTTCTTGAAATATATTTTCTTGCTAAACTGATGTTTTTAAAAGTGTTCTGGGTCTGATATTTGTGAATTAAATAATTAAACACTCAGCTGGAAGTCAATATCATTCCTATAGTTCAAAATCAATGGCTGAGGGCCGGCCCGGTGGCGCACTGGATAGTGCGCCGCTTGGGAAGCGCAGCGGCACTCCCGCCCGAGGGTTCGGATCCCACATTCAGACCAGCTCCCGCTCACTGGCTGAGCGAGGCGCGGGAGCAACACCGAGGGTTGCAATCCCGTTGCCGGTCCCTGGTCCGGTACGGGGGCAACACTGAGGGTTGCGATCCGTTGCCGGACACGGAAAAAAAAAAAAAAGACAAAATCAATGGCTGAGAAATTACCATACGAAATAGAACATCTTCGTAATTTGGGGACTGACCAGACCACAATCTTCCAACTATCACTTAATCCTGGTCACCAAAGAAAACAGTGTGACTGAACAGTTCAAGTCGAATAGCTGGTCTTTTTTCTTTAGGAACTTGTTTTAGCAGTTTTGAAACTCTGCCATCTCTCCTAAAAAAGTAGAAACCAAGTATTCTGAGAAATAGAAAATCTCAGCTTACTCTGTCCAAGCTTAATAAGTATTCTAGGATTCAGAACATAGTTCTTACTTCCTAACACATAAAATACTTCCAAGAAACAGACAGGAATGCAGAAATAACAACAATGCTGATATTATTTCTTGTTTTTATTCTGGCAGTCTTACAATGATTCTTGTAAATACCTCAGTTAGGCCAGGCCTTCATGGCTAAAGTCGAGTCACAATTAACATCATTCCCAGAAAAATGCAAGTAAAAGAAAATATTCTTTTCTGAATTATCTTGGAAAATTACTTGTTTAGCTATATATTAGTAAAATATCTACCATTTGGGGTGACTTTATGACCTAAGCTCTAATTCAGAATGACCTGTCCGTGAAACACAACAATTATACCTAAATCAATAATTTAATATTGTACATCCAAAATGGCTCACCTATATTATTGAAATTTAAAAATCTAAAAAGTTTATTCACAAGAGGTTAATCAATCAATAAGTATGTATTCGATGCTTACACCGTGAGCATACTGAAGAGTATATACTGCAGCTCAAATGCAAATTGCTGTCCACTTTATACTGATTAAAATGTTTCATACATGGATTTAACCTGTAAGAAGTTGTTCTTGGTTATGTAAGAGATGGTCAGTTTCCTAATTTTTAAAATCAGTAGTTGTAATTCTGGAAGGAAGAAGACCAACCACAGCCTATTTGAATGTGAGGTCAATTGAAGTCCAGGTCCTAAAACTAAAAAGAAACATTTAAAATATGAAAGTATTGTAGCAAGCTATTTTTCATTTTAACAATAGCTTGAAATTCAAATAGGTAGGAAGAGTTGATTGAGAATGCAATTAATATTTTTAAAATTCTTGTTTTTCTTTACAAAGATTTATTCTTCAAAAAGATATGAATAGCCTTTTTCCAAACTTTGTGAATGACAACTCTATTTCCCCCTCTGAACTAAGATTGACCCAAAGATGACTCTGTTGTCATTAAATCTCTCCTTTTTGTCATTATCTTATTGGGCAAAAAGTAGGAGGGAAATAAAATAGCGTGACTGAAGGTACTAATACCCTTTAATTAGTCTTCAGTTATTTGTCTTGGGTCTTCTCTACAGCTGAGCGGCCAACTCGATCTACTGCCAAGCACCACCTGACGCACCCAAGGAAAGGTAATGCTACTAAAATGCCCAGGAGAGTGACTCCTTTTCAAAGTAGTTGAAACATCACCACAGCTATTTTAAAATCACGTTTTCTTCCTTTCAGCCTTTATTGTTAAGTTTGAATACATCCTAGCATCTCTTTGATTTTAATTTCTAACTTAAACCAAACTTCTGATTCTGGATGGTGTTATGATCAAATTTATTTTTAACTTTACAACTTTGGGTTAAAGTCAAGGTTTGGGACTGGCTAAATTATAGAAGACATCATGAATGCTAAATAAGAAGCTGTTTAAGACAATGAACCTATTCCTACAGACAAATACAGAAAGTTCTCAGGAAGTTGGATCTGTAATAATGACCAGATTGTTTCCTCAATTACTTTCAAATTTTATTTCTACCTAAAAGTCGTAATTTTATTTGTTATAACAAAACTGTTTTAAAACATAGTTTTCATATACTCATGAGAGCTGAATAGTTCTACCATTTCACAAATTATTTCTTATCAAGTGATGAGAGTAGATTCAAGTACTTATTGGTTTAAGTAGCTGATATGTTAAATACGGTCTTATCTCTGTGATTTCTGTTCATGCTAAAAGGGGAGGAATTGTTATCACTTTATAGAATGTTTTCTTTTGTGTGTGTTATATCATTTTGTGTGAATTGAAAAGCAACCTGTGATTCACCATAGAAAGATTATTTTTCAGTTTGTAGTCTTAAAAGATAACTGGCAAATGACAAATTAATGAGGAATTCCATTCCACTCAAGGAAACATGAGTTTGCTTAGGTTATTCACATTTGATTCCACATTCTTTTCCATTCAATGATATCTTATAGGTGGTTCTGAAGTCAGTTTATCAGACAGCCTTCCTAACACTAATACTTGAGAATCAGAGAAAAGTACAGCCTGATGTTCTTTCCTTTCCCTACATGTGGCTTTAATTCTGTGACTCTCTTTTGTAAAGCTCAGTCTGTAGAGACTCAAGTTTCTACAAGCATGGCAATAACTATATCTGCAACAAGATGTACTCAGTATTTGCTTCAGAAATTCAATATGCACTTAAATATTAAAAGTTTGAATTGGCATATATTTTTATTGCCTAAAAAGACAATTTATTAAAAATCAAATAAGTAAGTGTGACACCATATACTACTTTAGAAAAACAAGCTTTTTTTTTAATATTTTAGTCAAAGCCACTGTAATTGTCATCTCTATACTTACTAAAACAATCAAGTTAATCACATCACTTATGATTCCTGGAGAAATAGGTTATGAAGAATGAGGTTTCATAATGCTCCACTCCCCATTCCAATCTATACATGTCTGTTAGATTGATCATGGGATCACAAAATTTTAGAAATCACTCAAGTCATCTTACAGGTAAAAAAAATGTACGGCCCAGGGAAGGGAAATGACTTGATCCCTCAGCTAGGACTCAGTCCTCCAAAGAAATGTGTAGTCACATCAATCTTTAGTCCAAGAACACACTCAGATAACACTTGTTTTCTGTTTACAAAGCCATGCCTAACTCTTTAACCTGGCATTTAAGGTCTCTACTTTTTCTGCTCTAAACTTTCTTTGCAACTTTATCTTTCCATTCTCATACAACACTCCAATCAAAGTGTTCATGGATGTCTCAAGACTTTTTCCTCTGCTTGAAATGTTTCCCCCCCTGTTAAACGTTGCATAGGAAATTTCCATGTACATGTCATCTCCTACACAAAGACTTTGCAGATTCTCTTAACTAAAACTTTCTATCCATAGAAAACCACTTTTGTGGCTTTTCCCATATTCTTTAGCCTTACAGTGATTTGTGTATAGTGCAATTCTTCCTAAAATCAATGTTACTTGTTGGCAAGGCCTTTATCAGATTCACCTTGGTAATCTCAACATTTGGCTGAGTACCTCATTCTTAGTAGGTTCTTGGTATATATTAAATGAATGGATGATTAAACTTGTAATGATACTTTCATTCATTTCATCAAAAATTGAATTCAAAAAATGTTATTCCAAGTTTGATTTTTCTAATAACTTTTGATAAAACAGATTTTCCACATTGGCTAAATCTACCCATATAACTGGCTTTTTTTTTTCCTTAGAGCAAAGCCAATATTGTATTCAAATTATTCCTAAATTGTTAGTAACAAATCCTTTTATGTTTTTTTAAATTTATTTTTAGGTGGAATGATGAAGAGTTTCCTTCTGATTGTGAATATCCTGGCATTAACCCTGCCTTTTCTGGTGAGTTAATTTCATTTAACCAATTTATATTAAAACTTTAAGAGAATTTTACTTAAGGCCTCTAACTATGCAAATTACTAAATACAGTTATACTTCATAGAACAAAATAGCTGCATACTAGCTATCTTACCTTAAAATAAATGTATGTTTATATTTACTTCTATTATAAAATTAAGGTCATGTTCTTCTGGATATTCATTTAGTTCCCATGAATTAAGAAATCACAGTTATCATGTATAAAAAATCTTTAAAATTTTATACTTTAGAGAATATACATCCTGGAAGGAAAAACAACACTGAAAATATCTTAAAATTATAAAATGCTCTAAAGATATTTCATACAGAATATATAAAGAAATTATGGTCCAGAATTAGAAATTTTTAAATTACATTCCTATCTCACCAGACTCCAATCTCTTTAGGGACTAAATCCTTAAAAGATCAGGAGCTTGATGAAACTTTTCCACGAGTTTCAAAGACCTTGACAAAGGCCTTCAACATGGAAATCATTATCTTTTGTTATATTCTTCCGCATTTTGTGAACTAACTGACTCCTTCCAGGAATCCATAGCATGGCTTTCAACCATTGTCTTGAATTGCATAGTATGTTTTAAGGCTATTGGAGCAAGAAAAAGCTTCTGTGGTGTTTCGTTTTTTGTTTTCTCTTTTAGTTTTTTTTCCCTTGTTTTCTTTGTTGTTTTGCTTTATTTTCATTTTTGTCCTGGCATTCCTGGCACTGTGTTAGCCAATAGCAAGAACAAGGAGACAGTCATAATGTGTCCTCCTCTTAAATTGTAAAATTTTTGAGAGCACTAGTCCTTGTTTCATGATTTATTTATTATTAAGTTTAGACTTGTTTTAAAGTTAATATCTATTAAATAATTCTATTTTGTAAATTTTTAGAATCAAAATTACTTTTTAAATATTTGAATAGTATGACTTTCACATTTCTTTTCTGTCATTTATTCTTTGATATTACATTTTATCGTGGCTACCTGCACATTAGAACTTGAGTTTTCTCTTTGAGTGATGAGGGTTAAAGTATAAATCATAAAATGATCCACAGCTGCCTGCTGTACAGCTACTTGAGCTGCTTGAGTCTGTTTTCTCCCCCAAAGAGTCCTTCCCATTTTCGCAAAGGCTTCAAGCCCCAGGAACATGAACAAAAAATTCAAAAGAAAAAATTAAAGTTTATAGGTTTTACCATTCAACATTATGAGTAGTCAAAATTACACAAATAAAACAGAAATGTGATACTATCTTTTATGTGCTAATTTATTCCTTCTCTCCAAATGAAAATAGTTAAGATAATATTTATTACTAGCAATTATGTGATAAACTGCACAAACTCATAGCCTATTGGTAGCATTAGAAGTTGGCACAAGTTTTCTATACAACAATGTGATAATCCCTATCAAGGAATTTTTGGCCCCCAAAAATAACATTTTTGAAAAACTGTCTTAAGGAATAAATGAAAACTATTTAAAAAGCCATTGGTATACAGATGTTATTCATCTCTCTGTTTATAATTAACTATTTATCCTAAATAAATAGCAATAAAAAATAAACACTTCATGTCACAAACATTGATCATGTATTTTCAACCATAAAGATATAAGTATGAAAAGTATGAAATAAACTGAAAAATTATGTTTCTTGAAAAATGCAGGATACTTTTTACACAGACATATACCAGAAATACATTACGTAGGTTATTATATTAAAATGTCTAGATTATCAGCATTTTTTAGAATAGGTAAAGCTTCTATAATATTCATATTACTTTTTAAATTTTAAACTAACAATTTAATACAGTTAGAGAAAACAAATCTTTGTTTCAACATATCTTAAATTCTATTACTTTATTAAATTTCTGATTTTCTATACCTATGCCTTTCAAAAGGTTTCTAGACTCATTTTATACCCAAGGGATATGTGTGAAATGTCCTAAACTGGGACCGTCAGCTTTAAAAAATTTAATATCACCTCATCTCAAAAGTTCATAAAACCTTCGTGAGGTTTTAAAGCTTCTCATACATATCCCTATGAAAATTGTTTTCTCATTCTTAATTCCCTATGCATGCTGCAACGCAGAATTAAGAAAAGTACTATAAAAGCAAATGAAAGGTAATTAAAAACACTGTTATTTATATATTTATATACTAAGATTATGCAAGAGACAATGTTTTAAATCTAAGTAAACTTCATAAATCATCTTAGTATGAGAGTAGAGAAAGAAAAATATGCTCAATGTCCCTCTGATTTTTAACAATGTAATTTAGTACAAACTGAATAAAGGTTATTCATATTTTTTATTTAAGTAAATGCATGTATTTGTTGGCACACGGGTCAGACGATCAGATTATTTTCAACAGTGAATTTTTCTTCTTAAGTGGTGATTTTTAAACACAATTTAAACATGAATTTCATTATTACAATCTCAATCAGTATATTACTATTGCTTCTTGAGAGACTCACAGGCTTTATAGATTAAATAATCATGGCAAATGCTTTATAATATTAAAATGAAAACTAAGAAAACATGTTTTCTTTAATATGAAAGACACTTTTTTAACAACCAAACAACAAAAAACCACAGACTTTGCCTTGCTATTTTTATTTCTTATTTATCATTATCTCATTTCTTTTTAGTATTAATGTGTTTTTTAATTATTTATTATAAGCATATTCTTATTACCAATTTTTTTTTTTCTTTATGCCCTTTACCCAACCTATCCCTCCCTAACCTTCCCCATCCCCCACCCCACCCCCATTTCTAGCAACTTTAGGTTTGTTTTTCCCTTCTGAAAGTTCAACATATTGTTTTGGTCTTTTTCTTTCTTTCTTTCTTTTTCCCTTTCTTTCTTTCTTTCTTTCTTTCTTGGCAACCAATTACAAGTGAGATCATGCAGTATTTCTCTTTCCTTGTCCGGCTTATTTCACTTAACAAAATTTTCTCCAGACTCATCCATGTTGCTGCAAATGGCAGAATTTCCTTCTTTTTTATGGCTAAATAGTATTCCATTGTTTATATATACCACATTTTCCTTATCCAGTTGGTGGACACTTACATTGGTTTCATACTTTGGCTATTGTAAATACAGCAGCAGTGAACATGGGTATGCAGGTATCTCTTCAACATGATGATTTCCATTCCTTTGGATATATGTCCAGTAGTGGGATTGCTGGATCACATGGTAGAGCTATCTGTAGTTGTTTGAAGAACCTCCACACTGTTTTCCATAATAACTGTCCTGATTTATAGTACCAGCAACAGTGTAGAAGTGTTCCCTTTCCCCATATCCTCACCAGCATTTGTTGTTCTTGGTCTGTTTAATAATGGCCAGTCTAACTGGAGTGAGATGATATCTCAATGTTTTTTGGATTTGCATTTCTCTGATCATTATTTCTTTTTCTGGAACTCCCCAGGCTGCAGATGTACAAAACCAGGAACAACCAGCAGTAAGTTTATTTCAATTATTTTTGTTAGAGACATGAACTTCAAAATATAACATTCTGCAAAGGTCAATCATATGAAAATACCTTCTGTCTAAAAAGTAAACAAACATTTTTATCTTCATAAGATAATCTAATGATCTTCGAAAAAAAATTATTTCAGCAACAGATGATACAAATCGACCTCAATGTTCACATGAAAGTCTTAGTTTTATTATATAGCCCAAGTCATGTATCTCTAGTTTTCATGTATATTTTAGCAACATGAGAAAACATTCTCAGTATATAATATTGGAGGGAAAGTAAAAACAAAAATAAAGCTTCATATTTCTACTGTTCACTTTTTAAGACTTGGGGAAAGATCCCCATCTGACCCATCCTTTAACACTTCTTGTATATTTGTATTTACTTCCCTTTTTTGTTTCCTTAAATGATTACATTTAAATATGTCTCTTTTTATGAGAAATGCCTGCTTTGCAATATAATTTTGTAGATTTATTTCTTTTCATATAGAAAGGTCTACTGACAAACTTGCATGATTGCACATAATTGATAGAACAGAGGCAAATGAAAATTGAAAATTCCCTACGGGACCTTTTGTGGAAAAAAATAAATTGAAGAAAATCCAAAGTCCAAATCTAGATTCCCCCCATATTACATTATTTTACTATTGTGTTATAATTAGTTTTAAAAAACACATGTTCTCTTGCGCTAATCTCTAGATAATAAAATTTATGAACAATTACAAATATATGATGAGAACATAAATGTATACCTGTGTGTATGAATGTGTGCATGCATGGTGTGCTTTTGTATAATATGTCAACGTTCTCTATGAGATTTTTCTAGGTGTTGTACTTACAATCCAACACTACGCACTTTCAATACATACCAAGTTCTAGGCAATGTGGTTTACGTTATGGATTACTTCACCTAATTTGTTTGGAACAAATATTACTTTTACATTATTGAAAATAGTATTTTATAATATTGAAAATTATGAAGTGGAAGGAAAATATATAAACTTATATCTTTTTAAATAATATATTTCCTGGTTTCCCTACTTCCAATACTGCACTTACTCAATGTCAAATACAATATTTTTTTGAAAAATGCTGATTGAACATATCTGTACATTCCTGTTTATAATAATATCATTCTGTATAATTTATTCTTTTTGCAGTGCCATGAGAATGATGAAAGATTGTCTGATCAGAAAACAGTCTCATATGTCCCAATTCATTATCTGAATAGCTACCCTCATTATAATCCCAACTACTACCAACCTAATCCAGCTGTACCAATTAATAACCTATATATCCCTCACCCGTATTATGCAAAACCAGTTGTAATTAAGCCACAAACCCAAGTTCCTCATCGGCAAGTCCTGCCAAATATCCAGCAGGCCACCATGGTACGTCACCCATACCTACATCCATCATTTATTGCTGTTCTCCCAAAGAAAATTCAGCATAAAACAACCACCCCTGCCATCAATACCATTGCTCCTGTGGAGCCTACACCAATTCCTGCCATTGAACCAGTGCTGAACACTGTAGTCACTGCAGAAGCTTCCTCAGAATTCATCATCGAAAGCATCCCTGAAACCGCCTCAGTTCCAGCTATTTCACCTGTGGTGTAAAAACACTAAGGAAATATCAAAGAAGACAACACAGGTAAATGAACAAAATATAAAAATGAATAATCTAGACAAGAAGCATGGATTTATCAAATATGAACATAAAGTCTAAAATACTACAAATGAATAAGTTAAGTGTCTTAAGGGAGCAGAAAAAAATAATCTGATTATAATTTTAATTTTAACCACAGTGTTGATATACTAGATTGCATTCCAACAAGAAATGAAGAATAATCTTATTTTACAAAATAATGAAAATTAGCAGCTCTATTACCAAACTTTTTTTTCTGACAATTGGAACACTCTTAGAATCTATTAGTTTTATTCCATCCCTATTTACACACAAACTACGACAACAGAGTAAAATACTATGTAAAATACACTTGCATGATTTTTCTTATCTAAAAAATGAGTTTTCCTAGATATATTAGTAATACAGAATATAAATTTAAATAAGTTTTAATTTTGTAACAATACTCTTGCACTATAATTTGGTATGAACAGAGTGGAAGGAGATAACATATTTTCCCATGCATTCTTTTATTTCAGACATCATTCTGAAAAGATCCATGAAATCAGGCCTCCCAAATTGCTCCTGTTCTAATATGAACCCATAGAAAAATTATAATGCTTAACTTGAAAAACACATAAACATTAAAAGGATACTTTTCAGAACATTGAAAATTTCAGAACATTAAAATAATTTGAAATGTATGGAAAGAAAATAAAGAGAAAGACTAAAAACATTGAAAATGGCCAAAGAGTATGAAATAATTTGGGGAGAAAATTACAAAATTTTGAGTTTCTTTGCAACAAATATTTTCAGTACATCAGATGGTCTACATGTTTTATAACTGAAAATACCACACAATGGTCTGTGATATGATGGGACTAGCATTAGACCAGAGAAGATTGCTTCTTCCTTCTTCTCATCTAGGTTGGTCATTATTCCCTCTGAATTTTCATTTTCTCACAATTTTCATTGCTATAAGGCTTAAGTGAGAATGCATATATGAAAGAATTTTAAAAACTGATCAATCTATTAAATGCAATGTACTAAAGAAGCAAAATAAAATTAATATATACAAAAATTTATCTTTTCATTGAAACGTAACTGATTATACATAATCGTGGGGTACAGCACTGAATATCAACACCTGTGTACAATATGTGATGCTCAAATCAGGGTATTTACTATATCTACCATTACACAATAAAATCACTTTTGTGGCCCTTTACCAATTTCTCACTAACCGCCACCTCTTTTTTCTCTCCTCTGGTGGCCTCAGTTCTGTTCTCTACTTCTGAAAGTTCAACAAATTATTTTGATTGTCGTATCTTTCTTTTTTAATTTTTTTTTTAACTTTTTTAGCTCCCTTTTATGAGTGAGGACATGTGGTACTTCTCTTTCTGTGCTGGCTTATATCACTTAACATAATTTTCTTTAATATCTCAAGTCTTCACTAAATGATACAATCTTTCATAATTATGTCAATTGATTCCTACGGCAACCAGTGGAACTGATTTTATTACTAACTCAAATTTAGGAATGAAAAAAAGAATAGGCCTAAGAACATTATGTAAATTATAACAGGTAGAAAGTGCAAAATGGAAACTAAACCAAACCTGTTTGATGTCAGATAGTGGTGTTTAATTACTATGCCATCTATTTCTGCACGGGTTGTTTAATTGTGAGAAAACACACTGTGATTTCCTTGGACTGGGATATGTATAAGTTGTGTTATTTAGTTGCTATTTAGTAGGATGTCTGTTAAGAGAAAAATAATCAACTGGATAAATATTTGGCTTATTAAATTTTAGAAAATAAAATGAGAAAATGAATAAAGACAAAATGAAAGCAAGTAATGTAATATGTAATCATACATTTTATTGACCCAAAATATATTATTATATGATATATTTTTAATGGAGTAATCATTATTTCAATAGTTACATTTGTTCAAAACTCATAAATCTAGATTTCTAAATTAAAACTGTTTAATGTCACATAAAGACAGTGTAAAGGACAGTGTCTTTCTGTAAATATTAGTTGAAGTCTATTATTTTCAGTTCACTATATGCCAAATTTAAATATTTAATTTGATAAAGTCCTTGACATAGACATAAGAGAAATATAATGAAAGTTCACATATCATGTGAACAATAAAAGTTCACATATCATGAAAACTATTAACACACTATGAGCTAAATTTCCAAACTGTCATTATTTTTAATAGGTCATGCTGAAGCCAAATGACTACTTCAAACTCTCCTTCAGCCATTTGTCTGCATTCAGTCAAAGCAAAATGTGATTTTCACAGATTTGTCTCCTTTCTCTTCTCCCTTACATTTTTTGCCAAATTTAATTTTTTGATTCTTGCACAATAAAGCCAATTGAATGCAACCAGATCTTTTAACTTGAGTGAAGTCTGTGGAGTTGCCTCAGGCACCTCTGAAACCTTGAAATTCCAAGGCAAATTGAGTGTGAATTTGAGTATGGAGTTTCCCCGGGGCCAGAGTTCATAGTTTCATCAGGTTCTCAAAGTTGTCTGATATCTAACACCAGTTAAGAACTTCTCTAGGATGATATTATGGCTGAGTCAATAGGATCAGACAGGGACTAAGCCAATCCAAGTGACCACAAAGTGAATCTTGGGAGCCATGGATACATGGCAACATTACAGGAATTGATGGAGACTCTCGACATGCATGACCAGTTTCCTCCAGACTGGAAGCCACAGTCACATCTGTCCAAACACACAGACACACACACACACACACAGACACACACACACACACATACACACACACACCCTGCACACCAGGAAGCATCTGGAATTGAGTTTCTCCAGTCTAGAAAAACTGGTGAATTTTCAAAGTCCAAAGGTATGACATCGTTTTTCCCTTAAACAAACATTTCAAGAAAAATTATCAGGCCACTTATGTGCTTGGTCCATATTTAACACATCATGCCAGGAAAATTATAAATCACTCAACCCTTCCAAAGTGCTTACTGGTCATCCACCTAATCTTTTGCAACAGATACGCTATTATTAAGAGTGACTTACAGTCTTTACCTGCTCTCTCAATCAAAATCTAAAGTCTGGGAGAAGGGCATGGTCAAGAATATGGCATGGATAGGACTCATTTGTTATAACCATTAATAATATTATTAATTTCTTAAAAAACAAAGTAAATATGTGGAAGAGGTAATATGTATTTCATTAATTTAAAAAAATTTATTACTTGCTACATACAACGTACTATGAAAATTACTGTAGGGATACAAATGATAATGATATTTAATAACAATAAACAACCAAAAGTTCTACATTACATACTATATGTCAGTCAATATTCTATTCGTTTGCATGTATTAACTCACTTAATAAGTATTCATGGACTATTTATTATTATTGTTTTTGTTGTTGCTATTCTTATTATAAAAAGAAGAGAAATGAAGCAATTTTCTCCAAGTGGAACTGAGAAATTAACACAGTCTTGGTTTAAAGTCTAAACTCCTTAAAAGCAGACACATAGACCAACAGAACAGAATAAACAGCCTAGTAATAAACCCAAACATATACAGTCAGGTAATTTTTGACAGGACACCAAGAAAAAACAATGGGGAAAGGATAATCTATTCAACAAATTGTGCTGGGAAAACTGGTTATCACATGTAAAAGCATGAAATTGGACCGATATCTTACACAATATAAAAAATCAACTCAAAATGAACAACAGACCTAAACATAAGACCTGAAACCATAAAATTCTGAGAGGAATACATAGGGGGAAATTTCCTTGATATTGGCCTTGGCAATGTTTTTTTTTTTTTTCTTTTGTATATCACACCAAAATCCCTGACTACAAAAACAAAAATAAGTAAATAGTACTACATCAAATCAAAAAGCTTTTGCACAGTAAAGTAAGCAATCACAAAATGAAAAGAAAGCCTATGTATTGGGAGAAAATATTCGCAAACCATAGATCTGATAAGGGGTTAATACCCAAAATATATAAAGAACTCACAAAATTCAACAGCAGTAAAACAAATAACTCTATTTTTAAAAATGGGCAAAGTGAGGCTAGCTGGTTCTCAGTTGGTTAGAGCATGGTGTTATAACACCAACGGCAAGGGTTTGGATCCCTGTACTACCAGCCTCCAAAGGAAAATAAAAATTATTAAATAAAAAATGTGCAAAGGAAATAGACATTTCTCCAAAAATGGGGTAAAAGTGATCAACAAGTATATAAAAACATGTTCAACATCACTAATCATCAGGAAAATGTAAATCAAAACCACAATGACCTCACACACTTGTCAGGTTGTGTATTAGTCCATTTCTGTTGCTTATAACAAAATTCTTGAAACTGGGTAATTTATTTAAAAATCAATATTTATTTCTTACAATTTCAGAGGCTGGGAAGTTCAAAGTCCAGGGAACACATCTGGTGAGAGCCTTTTTGGTGGGTAGGGACACTTCACAGCAAAGCAAGCTGTCACATGGCGGATGGCAGAAGCAGAGAGAGAGCTAACTCCTTACTCCATCTCATTTTAAAGCCCTTAGAACCACACCTAGACCACAATTAAACCATCAATTTATTAATCCATTTTCTTGGGCATGGTCCTCACAATCTAATCATTTCTTCATGGCCCCACTTTTTTTTTTTTTCTTTTTTTAGGGTGAGATATATATATGTATCTTTATTTATTTATTGCTTCTTTTTCTTTTCCTCTTCTCACATTAGGCTTTGCATCAAGTTTGGAAATTATTTAAAAATGTAACCTGAGTGGCTAGTTTCTGCCTGACCACCAACATTTGTATTTGGCTGCTCAGCATTTATTCTTAGATTGTTCCCTTGTTCTTGGCCACTCCCACTTTCTCCTATTACTCCCACCCAAGAATGTCCTTTCCGTTTACTTGTTGTAACAACTTCAAAAGATTGTAGTTGTTATATCTTCTTTTCCCCCCGCCCCGGATTTCTTTTGTGTGTGTGTA